ACGACTTCGCATATCGAGCCCACTTGGACTCGTCCGAACTCGAAATTGAGTTTTGATTCTTCGTACATATCGCCAACGAATCCTACTACTAGAGCATGCTTTTATGACCAATTTTTGGGCTGGAACTATTCCTTGCGGGGCTTCTGGCCAAAAACGGGGAAAAAGATAAAAAAACGAAAAAAACTAGCAAAATTCGGGCTCGTTTGCGCTCGTCCGAACTCGAAATTGAATTCCTTTTTTTTCTACATGTCGCCAACAAAGCCTTCTGTATACAGTATAATTATGCTTTCAAATCCAACTTATTCATGAAAACCTATTATCCCAAAGTTCTTGACCTGAAGTTGGCTTTCTTGCACGACTTCGCATATCGGGACCGTTAAGACTCGTTCGAACTCAAAATTGAGTTTTGATTCTTCCTACATGTCGATAACAGAATCCTACTACTAGAGAATGCTTTTCTGACCAATTTTATGGTTAGAACTATTCCTTGCGGGGCTTCCGGCCTAAAATGGGGGAAAAGAATAAATAAAGAAAAAGACTAGCAAAATTCAGGCTCGTTTGAGCTCGTCCGAACTCGAAATTGAATTTCGTTTTTTCCTACATGTCGCCAACGAAGCCTTCTATGGAATTATGCTTTCAAATGCAACCTATTCTTGAAAACCTATTATCTCGAAGCTCTTGACCTGAAGTTGGCGGCTTTCTTGCACGACTTCGCATATCGGGACCGTTAGGACTCGTTCGAACTCGAAATTGAGTTTTGATTATTCCTACATGTCGCCAACGAATCCTACTACTAAAGAATGATTTTCTGACCAATTTTTGGTCTGGAACTATTCCTTGCGGGGCTTCCGGCCTAAAACGGGGGAAAAGAATAAATAAAGAAAAAGACTAGCAAAATTCAGGCTCGTTTGGGCTCGTTCGAACTCGAAATTGAATTCCATTTTTCCCTACATGTCGCCAATGAAGCCTTCTATGTAATTATGCTTTAAAATCTAACCTATTCATGAAAACCTATTATCTCAAAGCTCTTGACCTGAAGTTTGCGGCTTTCTTGCACGACTTCGCATATCGGGACTGTTCGGACTTGTCCGAACTTGAAATTGAGTTTCGATTCTTCCTACATGTCAACAACGAATCCTACTACTTTAGCATGCTTTCGCGCGCATGTCGTACGTCACTAGTCGGGCTCGTGACTGGTTGGTTGTTTTAGGTTCGTTGATCTCTTCTGATCTCCCGGTCATCAACACACGATCACAATACGAAAAATATAATTTACAAAGTTATTTAATCCGATCCTAGATCCAACGAATGGATATACATGTTTTCTAAACAAATAATTAAATCTATCCGGTCAACCCCTAGGCGAATAATTATTACAATTCATCCATAAATTCATCGACAGGTCCGAGGCTTTAAAAACAATTTAAAACCATACATCACATTCAACAACATTCATCAAACACATAGTCGGCCATAATAGATTAAACTAATTCCTGCAAAACAGAGTAATGCGAATAAAATCCAATGTACAGCTGCGTTTGAACACATCTTATCAAATAAAGGCTTAAAAATTTGAACTTTGTACGAAACGATTTAACCAAGTGCTCTGATATCACTTGTTGGGATCTATGAGGATCTCGTTATGTACAAGTTACGAATTCAATA